ATCACAGATATTCATAAACAGAGGACTTAAAGAGATATTTTAATGGGATATCAGCAGAAGCTCAAGTTCACAAAACTCTATTGAGCTGTGCTCCTAGAAACTACGTTACCCTTTAATTGTGTTCCAGTGAATGCTACTGTTATTACATAAAGTCCGCATTCGCCAGGGCTATGACCTCATCTCAAAAACATTTATTGAATTTGGACACATAAACCTGTACACGTTCCACCCTTGTTTTATTTTAAAAGTGAATTCCGTGCAAGTTTACGACAATGGTTGAACCACGAGTCCAACTTTGTTGACATGTTTTTTGTTTTGTTTGGCTTCGCGGTCTAACAATTATTAAGCAACGTATCCAAGACCGTGAGACCGATGTTTGTGTGAGAGATCGGTCGACAACCAGCAGAGCAAAACCAGTTTCAATTAGCCTTTGCCACAGATAACTTTAGCCCATGCCTTGTTTGTTGTGGTGCAGTATTTTGGCTGTAGTGAATTTGCAATCTCAGATGCCCCTTTACACCGTAAAAGTAGAATGGGGAAAAAATATATTCATGAACAAAAAAAAAAAAAAAAATGTCATGTTCTAAACCAGGGGCCTAATTTTATGTTAATTATGGTTTTCATATTCCGAGACAATTAAAAGTGAGAGTAAGCTATAATGTTATTAAAATACGCGTGAATTATGCGAAATTCGTACGGGATTTAAAATGCACAAAATGAAAATAACTAATTATTGGAGTTGATTGCGAATATCCTGTGGTTATTATTTTTTTCCCAAGGATTTTAGACAAATTATGTGAAGTCGGCCTCGCGGACCTCTATGTAAAGCATCGTTACATTTGCAAGAAATCTCAACGTAGATTTTTTTTTCCCTGCAAAATGAACGGGGAAAAAAATATCCATACATTTTAAATGGAATACGCTAATGGGTTCGAAAATTAATGCTCCAGTGTTGAAAAAAATATGCCTCGGCAAAAAAATGATGGGGGATTGCTTTAATGCCCTTAATTTATGTAACACTATAGACCTGATGTTGGCATATATTTAAGAATGAGGAAAAGATAGATGAAATACATAGAAAACAGATCAAAAAGGACCATCTTAAAAGTGTGATATCTACCAAAACGGATCAAGTTAAATAAAGCAGCATGTTCTGCAAAGACGTAATAAGAAAGTAGGGACTAATTTGGGGTCTATTTTTTACTGGAGCAGGACCATGTAGCAGCATCGATGATAGAGTTGGCATGTTTACCCAAAACAGTCTGGTCATTTTTACATTACATTTGTCCAGAAACTTGCCATCTTACACGACTCGGCCCTTTTTGTATTTATACAATCCTTTATTGTGATATTTCTTCGGCTGTGATTTTTTTCTCCCCCCCTCGGAAATGTTTCAATAAGCCCTTTTCTCTCCATATGTTATATCCAAACAAAAAAAAACAAACTTAATAATTCATCCCACGAGTGAAGGCATGGTGGCAAAAACTTTCATTTTTACTTTTTCACCTTATGTGTTTAATGTTTTAATTGTAATCGCCGCAGGCTCTCTGCGAGCTGGGTTGCTCCTTACTCGTTGGGGGTCAGCGATGCAGTGATGCAAATGCGTCACTTATAAAACAATAAACACCGATGCACACAGATGCTACATTTTCACCCCCACTCTGCATAGGTAAATAATACATATTTTATTTTTGTATCGCACAATTTTTGCAGAATTTGTATCTTTTTGTTATGCAGACATACCCTCACTAACATCATTAGCATGGATGACTGCGGACTGACAATACCTATATATATTTTTTGTTTTTAACTGCGACAGGTAGAGTGCTGTGCTGTACCCCAGTGAAGATGGCAACTTGGTGAAGACTATCACCCAGCTGTTTGTTAAGTGACGGGCACACATGAGAGCCCGTGAGAATCATCAAAACTATGATGGGCACAGCAGCCTATGGTGTGCAGAATCAACAGAGAAGCAACTAAAGCCGTCGACAAGGACACAACCGTTAACGTGACGGAAAATACATGTTGCTATCCAATTCAGTTTGTGTTACGTTGAAAAAGGAACACGTGGATAATATTGGATAACATAATGAGGTTAAATACATAATTAGATACACAACTCAGAGCTGTTTAGCAAAGTAAGTGGGCTTGGATCGGACATATGGCTAGAACGAGGGTATGACGGCCGATAGTCAAGAATTGTGACGGAGTGGCAGCCAAGCAAGGAATGAAACGTTTCCAAGAGGACGTCCAGCGGGGAGAGATGGAGCACTTTTCAGTTTCAGTTTACTTATTTTGGTATAGCCCTGTGAGCCATTCGGCTCTTGAATCGGGTGCAACCACAACAAACAAACAAAAACAAAAACACGAACAAGAAAAACATCTTAAAGTGACTATGTGACTGTGCAAACAGAAAATCCATGAAAAAAGCAGCAAAATATTCCTGAAAAAAGCACCGTACACCAACGCTGTGTGCAAAAAATCCCAGTGGGATGCATGTCAAACAATAACAACAACCACAAGAAAACTTAGATTAAGGCCATCAGTCTAACTCCGTACTACAACAAAACAAACATGTCCAAACCAAAAAACTTTTCGAAATCACCAAAAAATAAAGCCATAATTGCAATGTAACAGTGATCACAGGGACTGTGACCGAATTTTTACAATAAACTACATGAATAACATGTAACACCAAATCCTAGAGCCATAGCTGGCTGCATGAGTTACTCCACAACAACAGAAGCATCAGTCGGATTATCAAATTTTTCAATGCACCTTTAAGATCAGCACGCTAAATCAAAATACAGATAATACTTTGTAGCATCATCCTGAGCGAAACATTTTATTTTATTTTACGCCAATGAATAGCAGTGGCAGCTAGGGGTGTACAACTCCTCTAGAGCAGTTTTGAGAGAAGATCTCATTGGTAGCGATTCAAGTTGCAGTTTATTGGCAAAAGCATTCCAGACCCTGGGGGCATCAATAGCAAAGGCCCTTCCTCCAGTTTTTGTACAGCAATAGGGAATGTGAAGCTGGTAAATGAGCGAAGACCTGAGGTCAAATTTGTTCTTTGAAACAGAGAGGAGATCCAGCAGGTAGTCTGCGGATTTTTTTGTAAGTACATCGTGAATAAATAAGATCTGGTGCACAAGCCGTCGAACATTAAGAGATGTTAAGTTTGACCCAATGTAAAGATCACAGTGGTGAGTCCTATATTGGCAGTTCAATGTAAATCTTAAGGCCGAGTGATAGATGGAATCAAGCTTCTTCAGTACAGTGCTTGGGGCTGATTTATACACGATGTCACAGTAGTCAAGTAGAGGCAGTATGATAGCTTTGATCAATTCCAAACGGAACATTGGGGGGAAGCAGTGCTTGTGTTGATACAGAAACCATTTTTTATTTATGTCTTTTTACCAATATAATCAATGTGATCTTCAAAATTCAGTTTTGAATCCAGGATGACCCCAAGATACTTATAGATCTTGACTTGCTCTATTTGATAATTATTTAAGGAATGTAATTGGGGAAAAATAACTTCCTGCTTTAGTCCTGGTGAGAAGCAAAGCACCTTGTTTTTGGAGGTTTTCAGGACTAGTTTAAGAGCAACTAGCTGATGTTGTAGTTTGTTGAAATCACCTTGTAGCTTAGCAATCACGTTATCTGGAGAGCGGCCAGCAGTAATCAGTATCGTGTCATCTGAAAAAAGATTTACCCTGGAATGATCCAGGTCAGTGCCCAAGTCATTGACATAAAGAGAGAACAAAAGGGGGCCGAGGATGGAACCCTGTGGAACCCCTTTTGTTATCTTAACACTGTTTGACCTCCAACCATCTGTGAATACAGTTTGGGTGCGAGAAAAGAGGTAATTTTGTAACCATTTTACTGCGTTTTCGGAAAAACCGAGGCAACTTAGTTTACTAAGCAGGGTGTTGTGGTCTACTGTATCAAAAGCTTTGGATAGGTCTAGAAAGAGACATTAACAGTACTGCTTATTATCAAGGCTACTGTGAATGTGATTCAGAGAGTCTAATATAGCAGATGTGGTGCTGTATTTTTTTCGGAAACCCAGATTGTTTTAGATGTTGGTGGACAGGAAACTGATAATTTGGTAGGTCAATAATTTTTCAAAAATTTTCATCAACGGGGACAAAATTGAGATAGGTCGGTAGTTATTTGGATCATCTTTAGGGCCCCCTTTGTGAAGTGGACGGACATAGGAATGTTTCCATTCTAGAGGAACTGATGCTTCTTTGATGGACAGGTTGAAAATATGGGCTATAGGTTTGTATATTAGGTGACCAACAGTTAGTAGAGCAAAGATGGGAATACTATCTGCTCCAGTAGAGGAGGACCCTTTGAGGTAGGACAGTTGTTTCAGAACATTACTTTCGTGGACTGGCTGTAAACTAAATTCGTTTGATGTTTGGACAGGGGTGTAGGAATTTGCATGAGCAGGGATGTCTCCCAATACATTATCAAAAAGATTACCAGCTTCAGAATAATGAAGGTTAAAATTGTCAACTATTTTTTTGGGATCTGAAAACTATTCCCCATTTCGGTTAAGCTCAATGGGCAGATTGTCTGTTTTGGATGCCTTTTCGATACATTTTATTGTTTTCCAGAAATTCCTGGCATTTCCATGTGATTCCAGGAGAGTGGAGGAAAAGTAGGCATTTTTTGCATGCTGTATTTTTTTGAAAATCCTGTATTCTAGCCAGTTGGCGACACATTTGGGAGGTCTTCATCCCGAAGTAGATGGATCATGGCTGATGACAATGATAATTATGAATTTAGTTTTTTAGTACATCTACGTCTGTGTACATTTAGTGCTGTATTTGTTTATTTTGCAAAGCATCAGAGAAAATGTACCTTTAAATAGCACCGCGCCACACACACATTCTTTAATGTTAATAATAAAATGATTGACATTTCATCAGACGCGTACTCGCCACAACAGACAGTGGTAAATGACCCCACGCTGTGCTCAATCTCACCTCCGTCATTGTCCTTGCCATCCTCGCAAGCGGTTTCCATGGAGACGTCGCAGCCTGCTCCGCGCCAGCCAAACTCGCACAGGCAGTGCCAGGCCGATGCCTCCAGTGCACAGCGGCCATTGCCGTTGCACAGCCCGGGGCAGCCCTCTGCGAGGAACGACACGGACACACGATGTGATATATATCCTGGCCTGTTCACCTATCGGTCAAGAGTCAGAGAGCCAGAGTGATCTCCTGCTCACATGAGCATCGGGGCGGTGCTTATCCACCTCTTTTCAGGCCCTGAGCTAGTGCTAGAAATTCCACGCTCCTATGACGGGGGCGAGTCTTACCATAGAGCAACCACTGTTGACTTCCCCAGGGAGTGGTGCGAATTTTATTTACCCCCAACCAGAGTTTTAAATCCCAACCTGCTGATTGTGAGATACTCGCTCTACCACTGAGCCACCTGGCCAGTGACCTTAAGTGCCTGTAATGTTTTCTCTTAGTTCGTAAGAAGATTTTCCCGATTATAAGGCACAATTTTCGCCCGTTTGTATTAAAAAAAAATCTGGCAATGTGTTTTATGATCAAGTCGGTGTTGGGTAACCAGGATTGTACAACTTTACTGACACTGGGTCCACGTTTGTGGTGCATCTAATTCAAGGAGCATCTTATAATCCGGAGAATACGGTATTGCTGCGGAAATTTGAAATTCAGTTGACCGAGCCAGATTATGTTTTTTGGGAAATTTTTATTTTATTTAAAGTTGAAATGTATATTTGCGCAGAGATTTTTAAAATGTATTTATCCTATAACGTGGTGGCCATTCTGCTCCGATTTTGCTTTATTTTCCTTTGCTGTGTTTAGGTTTTCCTGTCCCTGTATGTCATTTCGCTGACCCAGGTCAACTCTTGCAAATGGGACTCTATCCTGTTCTCTCCCAACAAAATAAACTGAAACTAAATCAACTATAAAGCCCGCACTTCACCACTAGGGCAAGCAATGCCAGGCCTTGCACAGAAGAAACCATACATGGAGCAGACATTCAAACGTCCAAAGTAATGCATTCATAGATACCCCGGTAAAACAGGGAAGTATTTCACAAGGCTAGGTTGTGATCGCAGCTGTTACGCATGGCAACCTGAACGTACAACACATTCTACTCGCTGTATTCAAGTTCCTACTCTGTTCGCTGTCTATCTATTAAATGTTTAATCTCGATATATGCCCTCCACTGTACGGAGATACTCTGTCAATATTTCCTATGTGCACATGCACACTGTGTACAGACATAACAAGCGAGATAAGGAGACGACAATGTCTCCTTCACGTATTGGTCTCGCTACGTAAACAAAAATATTTTTTTTGTTTGTTCACACCTACCACCCATTGGCCCCACGTCCCTCTGGGGAGTGCCTGAGTTCAGTGGCTACTTGCGGTGTAGCCGTGGCCCGTGACAGACGATAGTCCACATCGTCGAGGACTCTGTCCCGCCAACCAAAGCTCAGCGGCGGTCTGAGAACACCGCTTCGTTCAGCAAACAGTAAAGCCGCTGGCTGGCTTCGCGCAAATGCACGCGCTAAATAAATAATGAAAAATTGTGCAGTGCTGCTGAATGCTTTCTTCTTTTGTATCGTCTGTATATCTATTTTGTTATTTATACGTATGTGTACGTGAGTCGTCATATGTTGGACGACACTAGGTTCCAAGAAGAGATGGTTGACAATTCCACATTCCTGTTGCTCGGAAAACCACGGTTCGGCCTCCGTCACGAGGGATTGCGTTGGGCGTGAACTGGCAGGGAGCCTGGAAGGACAAATAGGGAGGGCAGCCTCTTCTGCTGTGAACGGAAAGGAGCTCGGAGGTGATCCAGCTGAGAGGAGGTGCACCTCTGGTGCAATGCTTCCAATGCCACTTGCAGTGGACTGTGCATGGAACAACTCAGTGGAGGCTCCCCAAGATCAAAGGCTCCTTAATTTCTCCACCGAAGATGGGCTCCGGAGCAGGTCGGATGAGGCGCCACACATCTTGACGTCCGATTGCAGTGACAACACCAAATCCGCTCTTCGCTCCGTCACAAAAAAACGTGACATTTCCCTTTTCCCTCTCCGTTTGTGTTTTTTTTTGCTGTACTGCCAAAAATGCGACATTAAGCCAACAACTGAACCACCTTTTCAATAGGTTATTCCATAAATCATTTAAGTGAATATGCTTTATCTAATGTGCATCTCCGAGTTAGGAAGCAGAACCCAGGCGCTTAAAATTCATCCTTGAAATAGCATTGCATTGTAAGCGTAGGTCACATCTGGTAAATTATTGAGTAAATGTGTCGCAAAATGTAACTTTTTTTAACTGATGCATTACAATTTGTGCCAATCATTTTTTTAAGTAAAATGTTTTACCTCTTGATGACCATCGCTTGTGTTGTGATGGATACGTCGTAGTTGTTTATTATTTTTTGTTATTTTCTTTGAACCTATCTACGTGACTTTAACGAAAGACCCAAAGAATTTGAATCTGAAATTGAGAGCGTTTTCTTTTATATTATATTCAGTGTAATTTCATTTTGAAATTATTTTGAACTTTAATCCTAAAGAACACCACACATGCAGTGGAATTTTAAATAATATATAAACAAATTGCAACAGTTGAACCCTTTGAAATAATGAAAAAAAAATGAAATTTAATAGCAAGCCACCAGTAATATACATTACAAATTATTGACCCAATTAGCAGCTCGAAAAGTCACGATCACTGAATGTGGCACGCGCTTATCTCTGTTACACAGCTTGCGTCACAGCGAATGCTGAGCCTCAGAAGCACGAGGTGCACAGTTTGGGGGTGAAATGGCCAGCAGAGAGAGCGCACACGCGGAATATCAGCCCAATATATAATGAATGAATGTATCGTCTATGCATGTTGAACTTCTTACGTACCACACGTGGCCAGCCGTGCTAATCGGAGGTGCGGGGAGAAGGTGAACAAACTAAAAGCATAAAGCAGTTGTAAAGAAATGAGTTTTCAATTTAGACCATTTTAAAGTGCACAGCTCCAGTGGCTTCCTAATTTTGGGAGGAAGAGCGTTCCAGACGGCCGCAGAAGCGCACTTGAAAGCACGCGATGCAGTGAATCAACTTAATACAATTTTACCTCAGCTACAAAACATTTCACTGCTTTTGAGTTCGCTGTAAATATTAAACAAATTGTCATGTTTTAAAGGTGTCACCGATTGTGAGTGCAAAGTTGTGTTTGGGGGCAAAAAAATAATAATAGCTGACTCGCTTTTTGAGTTTACGATTTTGATTAAGTCATTACATGGAATTATGAGGCTATACGTTTGTCCCTCCGGGATGGGTGGTGCAGAGAGTTGCTACATTCCACGTGACTTTAGGTTGTTTTATTCACACTGCTTATTTGAGTCATTTGTTGACACAAGAGGAATATGCAACACTTCCACCCTCAAGACAGGCACAAACCACAGCCACTTTGCGTATTTTGATGCTGTGACTAAAAATATCACCGGATGTAAAAATCATCCTACAACACATTCACTTATCGCAAAAGAACAAATTTACCCGTTACCATGAGAAGTGAATGTTTGCGAAAGCATTACACAGCAGGTGTGCGTAGTTCTTTTGCAAATGGGAGATGAAACTACCGTGTGTGTGTGTGTGCGTATATATCTGTGTGTGGGGAGTAGTATTGTAGCAGTTAGCGCGCTGCACTAGGAAACCTGGCGACCCGGGTGCGATTCCCACTCACGGCCAACACCAGTGACGATTATTTGAACTGGTCCTGGGCCTCCACTAGGTCAATTTTGCCTCAAATAAGTACCTGGTGCGATGTGTAAACATCGCCACTGGGAGACAAAGGCAGCCAGGAGTGGTGTTGGCCACCCACCCCCTCGTGTACCGTGCCGGCCTTCATAAGAGATCGCTAACAGCACTTGCCCCAACAGTCTGTTAAGGCTATAGGGGGGTCTTTGTCTTATATGTATGTGTGGCATTACCCTCAACATCATCGTAGGGAGGTGAATGAATGGAGATGAATCATTCCTCAGATGGGTTAGCATCGCTGGCAAGCATGTCACACATGCACATGCTTTTTGATTTAGAGGCACAATACCTTGAAATAATCCTATAGGATATCGAAACGCAGTAACACAAATTTAGAGGCTCTGCTCAACATTTTAAATCCCTGTTAGGCTGCATGGACTCTCTTTAAAATCTCCACGTTTAATGCAATTGCAAATTGTACAAAAAGTAAAAGACAGGGGCGTTACATGTCCGCATGTACACACGTGTGTAAGGGCATCACTTATTTTCCACTGCTGGTCTCGAGGCAGTGCTCAAGATTCCAAATTTAAATGGCAGGAACCAGCATCTCTACAGGGCAACTACCTCATAATCACACTCATTGTATTGACGCCCTCAGGGAGATTATGGTCTTAGCCAATCCCCCAACAGGGATTTTAACTCAGAACATTTGTGTGTATTGAATATAACATGACATCCTATAGGATTTTGTTTTGTCTGCAAGGGAGAAAGGTAAAGAAATAAAATTAAAAACAGGGACAACCAGTAAGGAAGCGTTAGCACGAAACATACCTTCAACTATCTTATCCTGATAGTGAGCTTGGGAAAAAAAGCAAAAATTAGGGGAGAGTGCTGGGACTGTGACATCCACCACAGAGCTGAAGTGTGGAGGGACGGGGTGGTGGTGGTGATGGAGGGAGGAAATCTCTCATGCAGAGGGAGACGAGAGAAATAAAATAACACAACTGCAGGGCCTTTGTATCCTCCAACACCGTGCGTGCGTGCGTGGATAACCAAGGTCCCGCACCTCCGGCCCAGACATGCCAGGCAGCAGCTGAGTTCACAGTTTGGTATAGAGGAGATCTATGGTTGGGGTTCAGTTGAGCTCAAATGAGAAATTATTTTAGGGGATGTAGTTCCCCCCCCCCCCCGACGACTACTAAACACACACACAAGAAAAAACATGCAGTTCTCAAATCAAGGTATGGGCAAGATCAAATTAGCGTCTGGAAAGAGGCATGCTTGGTGGAGCTAGAGTTTATTTTCTTTAATAAGTTTACCGTGTTTTAGATCAGCACGACTGAATCAAATAAGAACAAAAGGTGAATGGGTGGGGCGATCAGAAATGCGTCTCGGGCTGTCTTGTGTTGTGGGGTGGCTATTGTGTGCACGCATGGAGGCCCGGGGCAGGGAAAACCATATCAAATAATGGATAAATTCCAAGTATATTTTAATTATTCATTGCAGCCTTAAAAAAAGTGTCAGTATTCATTAAGCTCTATTTGACCCGGGTTAAAAAAAAGAGGGGATAGCGATCTCGAGCAGTTCAAAGGGCACCAATAGCGAGGGCCCAACAAGTCCGCGCTACGAAAAACCGGCGGGCATCAAAAAACGCTGGAACCACCGTGTTGACGTTCATGTTTAATTGCATCAAAGAGCCAATTGACCTTTAGATCGCCATGCCTCTCCAAGTACCAATCTGAATAAAATAAAACTAATTAAGTTAAATTAGAAAGCAATAATTACAAAATATGACCTTTTCTTACATTCAACAGATGCAATTGGTTAAGAGCGTTTTTTTCTACTTAATCTGAAAGATATGATGTTTTTGTATTTTACAAAGATATTATATAAGGCTCTGCGATTGCTTTATTTGTGCCACCGCTGGCAGAAAGGGCATTGAATGAGTGGGAACTCCAGAGAATATCTGGTCTACTCCACCAAGCAGACCCAGATGTTCTAGACAGATGGAAGTACTCACACTTTAGCCCCCACCCCCACTGCATGCCTTAACTGTGGTGAACCCATGAATATCATTTGGTGAACAGAGGCTGTGGGGAGGAAGAGGCAAAAAAACGTGCTCAATGTTGCAACCGGCCGCAACCAGGTGATGGAATTCAACCGGCGACCTCGTGATTTCGAGTCCAGCGTAGTAACCATTACGCAACAACAACAACAACAGCTATGTGTGGTGGATGGCATTCTATTTCAGTAAATGTCAGCAGTGGTAAGAGTGGCTTACAGGCTTCCTTAATTGCTTAACTAGGCGGCAGCCTACTGCAAGATGAACATATTTAAAACTAATAATAGAGTTTTTCCCCCTTTTTCTGGCAACAAAACTGAAACCTTTTTTTTTACAAAGATTCATGTCTGCATTAACCACAATACCTGCAGTCAAAATGCAAACAAAAAACTTACTGTGATAATATATGCATTGTCCTTGAAACTGATTGGTCGGCTTTCTTTTGAGCCTCGATCCAATTGGTGCTCGACCAGATGACGCCAAAAGGCATCATTAATGTCGTCCAAATTCATTATTTCCTAATGCATTTGTTGCATCACCATTTCACCTTAAAGCAATTATTTGCATGGGTGCTCCTATTTCTTACATGGTGGAAGAGAAGGCCAAATATATTTTTGGAGGGGCTCTCTACAGCGCCCTCTCGTGGAGGCCCTTATGCAGCCAGTAGTGTGTGGAAGCACTTGCAGGACTGCACCTGTACCATTCGGTCCAAAATCTAAAAAACGTTACCATTTTTTCGTACAATATTTTCTTTAAATGTTATGCAGCTTTGCCAGGTTTGTTGCGGCCATTTTCTTCCTTACAAATTTTGCATGCAATGAAATAGGGTTACAAATACCTACTCTGTAACCAATAAGGGGCACTATGATCAAAACATAGTCGTTTTATATGTCTGTTGTAGGGGCCACATGATGTGCGGTATAATGAGGATGCAGTGCAGGCCCCTTGACCTTCCATTGGCAACTAAAGACAATCATTCGGTTAATTAAACTGCATCTGCACTACTCCGCATCAGCTGTCCCCCAACTCAGGGGCACGACCCAGAGGCGGGGGTCACGAGGGGTGGGTTCAGAGGTCACAGATGTCACGTGAATAACTGAGACTGGAAGCGGGCGTCGATAATGCTACTGTGCATGATTTTGATATTGGGAAATGAAAAGGTGAATCGATGGAATATTTCGCAGAGCGTGAAATCAATTTTCTCGGTGCTGGCGAGTCTCAGAATGGCCACGGACATGGGCACTGTGCTGATTGGAACTCTCAGCGAATGCGCTCTTGAAATCATATCAGCACACGTGAAGAAGTTAATATAATCCACACATTACATTACACATTCCCGACAATGCTTCCTGCCAACCGTCAGATGTCGTTGGGAAAAATAAGTTGTGAAAGGGCCGTGCATCATGTATATTATAACGTTTCGTGCGAAAATGCATTTTTTAAGTGCACCATAAAACAATAAAATATATATTTATGGAGCTGGTAACACGTGTCTATTTGAGTCACGTGTTTCTCAAAATAGTTTTAAAAAAACAATCACGCGGAAAAAAACTAAATGATGGAGCGTAAACACACGAGATAATGAATGTGGACCAATTAAAGTGCCTTCTTATGCTGGTTATTTTATAAACCTGAGTTGAATTCTGCTGTGAGTGTAAAGGTCAGCGGTTCTTCAGTTTCCAACCAAGTAAAATGAATTTGCCCTTTGCAAAAAAGGGCAACTTATTTTTACAAAATATAAGCAGACAATGGATTTGAATTGCCATTGACTATAACGCGTCGATATATCTCATTTCACTGATACTGTCATTGTTAGTAAGGACATCATTGATCAAAAACATGACTGCTTTGAAGAACAATATTTTTTTAAAAAATTCATTAAATGTTTTGTCCTTATTACTTTCATACTCGGCAGATGGATTGCATTGCCAGTCAATATTAAGAAGTATGTTTATTGTGTTCATGGAAACCTATCATTGCTGTAACATAATGCATTTAATTTAAGCAGAGGATGTCGATAAACGTATAATCCATTACTAAATAATAGTAACAATAAGACAGATGTTTGAGCTCGGTGGATAAAACTACACAAATAAAGATAAATATCTCCTGTATAGCCTTAATAGGCTGTGAGGACAAGTGTTACTAGTAAACACCTATTAAGGCTGGCATAGCACTCGAGGTGCGAGTGGATCAGCACCACGTCCGGCTGTCTCCGTCTCCCCCAGTGCTGATATTTATACATCACACCAGATAATATTTAAGGCCGAGTCGGCCTAGGGAAGGCCCAGGACCGCTTCAGATATTCGCCATTGATGTTAATCGTGAGCTGAAATCGAACGCGGGTCCGCCGGATTCGGAGTGCGGTGAGCTTTAACCGCTGCGCCACCATTCCCCACAGATTAAACTGCACACACTTGCATGGAGTAGTGTGAACATTTAATTGTACAAATCTCATCCCCTACTAATCCTCCACGTGGTGGCCAGGGCGTCGACGCTACCCCACCGCATCGAGGGTTTGTAGGAGTCGCAGGAGCTCACCAGCATCTCGGCTGTGATCATCTTGAGACGCTTCTATGATGTTGCTGGCGAAGATCAATCAAAAGCTCATTTTGTTTAAAATACTTAAGCATGTCAGAAATATGTTGCCAGCATTCCAACCACGCAGTTTAAACACGCTGTCAAATTATATATATTTTTTACAATGGAAGAGACCTTTTTGGACAAGTTTGTATTTCGGCTCAGCGACTGTAATGAATACGGAGCGAGGCAAAGGTACAGGATTTTCTTTTAAAGTTGGCATTTTTCACAATTGTGAGGAACATGCCAACCGCTGCTCGAGGATTTCTCTTTTAAGTTGATACGCCGCACATTGTTCATGTTGCTCGTATTGCTGGACATATTGTTCATATTGCTGGACATATTGTTCATATGGCTGGACATATTGTTCTCCGAAGTGTTTTGTGCTCAAGCCGAGTGCCGTTTGGCAGGATTCCAATGATTCGCTCAATGTTGGACGTTATGCCTAACAATGCATGTACGTGTCTATGTTGAACTTCTTTCACATTGTACGTAGCCAACCATGCTAAATCGGAGGTGTGGGGAAAGGACAACAATCTAAATACAAAAAGCAGATCAAAATAAATTCGTTTTCAATCTAAAGTTTCAATCTATGTGAGTCTGTGGGTCTCTGTGTGACTCTATAGGTCTATGCGAGCCTATGCATCTCTATGTAGGTATGTAAGTTGAACTAATTTCGCATCGTACGTAGCCAACCGTGTTAATAGGAGGTGTGGGGGGAAGGACAACAAACTAAACACAAAAAGTAGTTCTAAAGAAATTAGCTTTCAATCTAGATTTAAAAGTACACAGCTCCAGCGGCTTGCAAATATCGGAAAGGAGAGTGTTCCAGACGGTCGTGTGATGCGGTGACTGTCTTTGTCCGATGGCAAGTCAAAAGCCGCTGCTGCGAGGAGGATGAAAGTGCATCGGAGAGCTACGCAGAGTGACCGTGAAAACCTACGTGACAATAACGCCAAATATTAGCCGGTTTGCCCTGCAGACTTCCTTTTGGTTTGATCCGCGTTGGATTTGGTCTCAGGTCACATTGACGCGGGGGAGCGAGCGTGCGAGTCCGGGTGTACGTACCGATGGTGCAGTGCTCTCCGTTCCAACCCTGGCTGCACTCACACGTGCCGTCCCGGCAGATACCGTGCTCGGCACAGTTGGGATGGCAAGCGCGTTGGTCGCATGCCACGCCGCTCCAGCCCTCCTCGCAGCGGCAACTTCCCATCACGCACACGCCGTGGCTCCCACAGTCCAGGGCACACATCTCTGCAACACAGCAGCCAAAAAGGAATTATTTTTTTTACCCCTTCATATATATTGCAATCTCCCCTTCATCCCCCACAGCTTCTGTCCACCAAGCAGTTGGGTGTGATGGGGTAAAATGCGAGTGCTCCCGCCTCTTCCAAGAGGTCTGGTCAGTATGGAAGAGTAGGCCAAATAACCTTCAGGGGTGCTCTCTTGAGCTCTCTCAAGAGGAGGCCCTTCCGCCAGCGCTGGCGTGAGCAAGCAATTCCAGGGATGCACCCTTTACCATTTCTATATTTCTCATATTTTTGGCAATTTAGTATTTTTTCACAATCATGGGACCTCCTTTGCCAGTATTAAAATTTTAGAATAGGTTTTACCCTTTCTGGCAATACAACAGGTGGTAAGATGTTAAAACACCAAACTGAAACTTTTGCAGACATGATTCTTTGCAAAAGGTTTCAGTTTGGTGTTTTAATTTGTGCTATGACCGTTCGTGGCATGAGACAAAGGGTCCAAAAGCAAATGCGACAACACCATCCCCCACGTGTTCGAGAATGACCCGCAGACGGAGATATGACAGGACCTCTGAGATCGCTTCATGTGACCTTTACCCCATCCTTTTGTCTTTGTCGTATCGTATCCACACCAATAATTGTAATTCTGAGAGCTAAATTTGTAGATGTTGTTGCTACATTCATAAAATAGCAAAATAAAACAATGTAGCCTGATGATTTTTTTCACATGCAGGCAGGTTCACTGGACTGAGGCCATCAGCTTGCAACACTTCAGAGAGTTGTGTAATTGCAGCCGGCCGCAGTTTGAATGAGAAACCCATGATCTCAGCGGCGTCAGCTCGGGGATTTGACCCCGGAGTCGCCCGGTGACCTAATTTAAAACCAATTCTTATTCAGATCTTTTCATCTTAATATTGACTTTACTTAAACACATCTTGAGGAAAGTCTTATTAATCGGCTGCAGATTAATCTCAGCGATGATCTGCTGCCTCCTGTGCTTGAGGCCTGCTATCTCACCAAACTGGCCATGGTGCGGTCAACATGAGTCTCGTGCTCTTCAACTCATTCTTGCAATGACACTCATCTGTCACTCTTGAGTTCTCACCTGGTTAAACAAAATAAACGCAGACTCTTCTACTCCATCAGCCTCTAGCCTCTGAGCATCGTGATTTCAAGTGCGTAAGGCAGCGCCACGCTTATCTAATGAAGCCCATAAACATGGCCAGGAATGATACCTCTCTTAGGGCATTTGGATTACGACTCTGCAAGTCGAGTCTATGTGTCATACTGGGGATATTAAACTTAAAGGACATTGCTCTACCATTCAGCACAATTTAAAATTAAATATATTTCCCGTAACATTGATAATAAAATAGTGCAATAGAACAGCAGTAGAGTATAATCATACGTGCGTCATGTGGCCAATAAAACTAAAAATGAACGTTCAATATCGTTATAAATTAACGGGAAGAACCAAAAAATCACAACGGGTCACCCAAATTGCGGTGATACTAAACGGTTAAATCGGTAATCAAAACACGAACAGTCACATGCAGAACTGACTACTGCACTGAATAACCAAGTGCGTAGAAAATGCCACTGCAATTAGTAGCTTGACAGAATTTCCATCGTAATTCAGCAACATTGGCTCAATTATGAGAGCAGGTCTGTGTCGACACAGTCCCCAAAAACTGCCCGAGCCAGAACACGGGGCACAGGTCTGATCGGTTCTCCCTCACTCCCAAATGCCGGATAAATGGATCATACACTGCATATCAACTCAGGGCTGGGGATTACGTGTGTTCACGAGTCACTCCGAGACCTGCCCTCTTCGTTTGTGTATCGATTGCCTTCGCCCTGTTGACCACAGCATAGGTGCTGGGCGATGACCTGTTTTTTTTGTTGTATACAGCGTGATCAATTCAGTAGCGGGAGAGAGAGGCCACGGTCCTTGATTGTGATCAGAAACAATTCCACATCGATTTTAATTAATTCCATGCGATTATGGGCCGATTCCAATTAAAAGAACCACGCGCATATCAAAGGTGTACATGTTAGAAAAAAATACACCCCTGACCCACGATCATCAATTACCGCTGTCAGGAGCCACCCAGGAATCTATTAGAATAGCTCCGTTCGGAATAGATTAGCAATTAATTGTAAGTGGAATCGTGAAAATTTGCCGGCCTCCAGGAGAGTGTTTGTGTTGTGAGATGGGGTGGGCACCGGAAGGATGGGGCCACGCAGAGGTGAATCCATGGCTGTGATTTTACAAGCGCGACAGGAAGCAGGCGCAAGGCTTTGCGTTCGCCCCACACCACAACTGTGTACCATTGCGTGACACATTCACACTATAAATTGTTCAGTTAACCACGGACAGGTTCGTATGAATGACAGTGGGATAGTATTAAACCTACCGCACCATGCCTAATGTAATAGCGAAAGTGCATTGTGTGCAGGCTCGGTCCAAGCCGTTCACACAGCAAGAGCTGAGCAGTTGAATGCGCTGGCCAATGTACCACGAAAATGGGTTAGTGTTCAAGTGCAAATCCTTATACTTAACTTACTCCATCCCTCCTTCCTAATAACACAAAAATAATTTGCACGTGTCTCTTTCCCCACCATTCCTGCTAAGCACCAAATATTCAACCCACGATGGTCTGTCCGCCGTTACGTACCGGCACCCAGTAAGTCTCTGCCAAGATTTCATCCTGCTTTGCTATTAAATCCCATCGTTACATTTTCCCAGAATGGTATAATTCCCAACTCTACGAATTCCAACAATGAAAGGTTGATGGATTTCATTTTGTTTTTAAAAGGAGACAGAAGCAACTTTTTTGTTTATGCAATACACTTTCTGCAAGAGAAAGACAAAAGTTATTTGCTACCAATGACGCAAACATTGTCACAACCTGTTCAAGTTTAATTTGATATAACCATGTGAGAATTGAAAAGACCAGGTTGAGTCTCATTTGGAAAAAAATGACCTGGGGCATTAGCCTGCCAGGACACAGCAATGATTTCCATGTATAATCCCTATTGAGTAATTAGCGGTGTCATTTTTTCGAATTTGGCTAAATTTTCAGCACACAACGGCCTAATCTAGCGAATGACGTCAGGCGATATTTGACGTCCACTGTGAACCAAACGGCATGTATTATTATGGCGTAGTAATAATATTAACTCGCTGGCACACGTGGGATTTTGGCAAATAACAAGAGATACACGCAGAGATGAATAGATATTACAGGGTCAAAGCACCCACTTTCAATGCCCTCCTAAAAGCAGAATAAATACATAAATAATAAAATAAACTTCACTCGTATTTGTTGTTGCGCTGGCTGGCTGCAAAGACACCGACCCACACAGCTAGGTGATAGGTTACCGCCTAAACAAATGGGTTGCTCCATGGCTATTAAATTCACCTGCATGCAGTGGCTTCCGACCAGAACATGCCAGCAATAATCTGGAAGGCATTACATTTTCGTGGGAGGTAACTTAGAGGTGAGTCCAGCATACGGGATGTGGGGAAACACGTAGGATCGAAATGGTCACTAGACCATTCAACCGAACAAAAGAGCCCTTTAGAGAATGTATTTGCGCAGCTAGGCGTATTGTTTCCATGCTAAGATACCACCATTATGCCGGGAAATTAAGCGCAGTCTACAAGCTGTTCGCTCACATTAAATACCACACAGCATTGCTCACAAGAGTTGGTCACTGTTTATTAGCGCCGGGAATGCATTAACCCCCTGCTACAGTAACGTTTTTTTTCCCATACCTACCCACTTAAAAAAAGCCTGCTCTCGAAATTAGCACCACATGCCATACTGTTTAGCAATCACGCCACATCACGCTGAGGTGTAACGACTAGCCCGCCATTCTACACGTGCCATTTCCTGAATTGCAAAGTGACACGCGGTTAATTTAGCGTTCCGATATCCCAACCGCCTCGTCTTAAAACCCCACCTTCTTAAGGCAGTTTATTCTATGTAGCCGTTCTGTCTCTCTTGGCTTTTTCCTACCCTCATTTTGACAAGGAGCCTTGAGACATTAGTGGAAGGTGCCTTCCAAATAAATCGTTAATTATTATTAACCGCCTCCACCAGCGACGGCTGTCCTCCTCTGCGCGCAAGCCACGGTGGGAAGTGCGTCCTCATGGCTGCCGTTGCCGGCAATAGAAGCTGCCGTGGTTGTTAATTGGACTTGCAATCAAAATGTAGACAGTTCGGGTCCATCTACCGTCGTAGCAGTTTAAACATTCGGCACATTTTTTAAACGCCCCCACCCCACCTCGCCCACGTCTGTATACCCAGTAGTACATAAATTGACATGCCATAGTCACGTTGACAAAAGACAAATAATAATAACAGAATTATTATTTTTATTATTGTATCTCCATTCTACGTGACTTCACCGAAAGAACCCAGAAGATGAATCCCTGCAGTCACGAAAGCTTTAAATCGAAAAGACAAATAGTTCACTACTTTAGCCCACATTTACAATTTTTTAGTACGACGTTTCGTTGGTAATTACATCCAGCATCATCGGGTGGTGGAGGGTTACGACACATTTAGAAATATCGCGATCTAACCCAAAAACGTTTATTGTGAATAATATTGGTCGCGAAAGCCTACGTGTTAAACACACCATAGTCGCTTGGCAGGTAGCAATGTCGTGGGTGTAACGTGCGGTTACCCACCTCCCTCTCCAAAGACATCTGGCTGGTGTGGAAAAGTAGGCCAAATTACCCTCCGGAGGGGCTCTACAGCGCTTCCTCAAGCGGAAAGCGATTTTGATCCTAAGTGGCACGAGTGAGCGATTGCGGGGCCCGCACCCTTTACCAATCGGCGTAAATCTGCGAAATGGACAATACCTATGAGTGTCAGTTGGCTACGTATGGTGTGAAAGAAGTTCAACATACGCACATCTCAGTTGTGCATTTTGAGAGACCATCAAATGTAGGCAAAATTATCCAAGTTAAAAAGATATGTCCGATTTACA